AAAACCCGTCAGCACCAGAAACACACAGGGTCAGTTCGATTTGAGTCTTTTCTTTTGTGCAAAACTGAAAACTAAATTGGTCAGGGACTGACAAGGTTGAAGCCAAAGCTACCGATAATTATTGACTCCTTATTCAGTGACAGAAAAGAAACCAAAGCACAAGGTTGGGGTGGGGGCGGGGGGAGGGGAGGAAATAGAACAAGGTGTTGCTGTAAAATCAGGAGGTGGTAAATTTGGGCCAGAAATCTTAGGACTCCAGAATGTTCCAAGGCCTCATGTGTTGCATGAGGGCGCCTCACAGACACCCTGTGAGTCAGATCTGCCGGCCTGAGTTCATTCCCTTTCTCGTGCCTTGTGGACACAGCAGTAAAGGTGCCTGGGGATCAAGGAGAAGGCAAGTGGGTCTTTGCAAGCTGAGGATGCTCTAAGTGCATTATTTCAATTTAGTCCAACCCTAGGTAATGGACGTTATTGTCACTGGAGGAAATGGAAGCTGGAGAGGTGAGAGGAGCTAGCAAGTAGAGAATTTGAACTTGAGCCAGATTATCTGACTTGTACGCCTGCCTTTTGTCCACCTGCACTTACCTCAGGAAGTGTTAGGGAAGTAAAGAGCTGATTCCACTTGGGCTTCCTTCTGTCTGGTTTTAGTCTCCAGAAAGCTCAGTTTTAAGACCAAGCTATTAAATCAAGGTTAGCGTCAAGGGGCTCTGTCCTGTGAGTTCACGTAGGGCTTGGAGCTCAGAAGGGTCCTGTTCTTGGGTTTAATGTGCTGCTGTCTTGAAATTATTAATAATATTTGAGTATGGGCTGTCACATTTTCCTTTTGCACTGAGCCCTGCAAATGCATGGCCACCCAGGCTTTGATAGAATGTCATCTTTCTCCGTCTTTCTTAGTCCCTCTTGCCTGCTATTAACATGACCATGGAGGCATTTGAAGAATGCGCCGTCCCTACCTCTGGCCTGCTACCTGGTACAATCAGCTATGGTTGTTTACCAGCTGTCTCCTCCTAGACTGCCACTGCACCCCTTGCTGGCATGGACCCCAGCTGCAACTGCAACACACCTCTGGATCCCCTCAGCAGGTGTCCAGGCAAACAACGTCGCAGGAGCAAGGGCTTCATTATGAGCAGCAGACCCTCAAGTGCAGTGCTGTGTCAGGTCAAGCCCACCTAGGGCTTATGCTTGTCAGGGAGGGAGGGACAGAGGACACAGAACATACCCTGAAAAAAACTTTGTTGCTTATGAAAAGTAGGATTGGTTCTGTGTTGGGCCATTTTCACTTTAACTTTCACAATGGTTTCACTCTCTGGCTGCCGGGCACCTAGCGCTGTGCCTGGCACAGTAAGCAGGGCGTTTGTTAAGCATTTGCTCCAATATTGGCTCCCCGCTAGGCTGATTATGGAGAAGGACAGTCCCTGACCTCCAGGAGGATTGGATGCCTAATACACTATTAAATGGTTCACGCGGCAGCTGCCCTCGGTGCCCAGGGATGCTTGGAGCTGGTGCAGGGCAGGCTTCCTGGAAGGGGGACATGAACTAGATCTGTGCACAAGGGTGAGCGGTGGGGAGCCATGAGACAGGAGGCAGTGGGGGGGAGGTTGAGAGTGGAGGGCTTGGTCCAGGCTGGAGTTTGCACTTGTGGGTAAAATAACTATCATCACACCCTTTCTCAGAGGCTGAGGCCTCGAGGGTAGAGACCCAGCCCTTTCAGTTCCTAGGCCTCTAGGTCAGGGCTTATTCCTGGTAGTCCAGTGTCCTCACTGTCACAGAGATCCCACGTGGAGAGACGCAGGCCTAGAGTGGGGTGTGGGAAGTAGAGAGGACTGGTCAAATTTGAGAGCTTTAATGAAGATAAGATTTCAGTTTTGATGCCAGCAATGGGTTGTCCCTTCGAGTAATGATGTGCTCATGTTTGTCACGGCCGGCTCAGCTCCTGTTCCTGAGAAAACGCTGCCGTGGACAGCATTTTCAAGAAATGCTGCTACAGCCAGGCATTCTGATTTCTGGGTACCTTCAGTGCCTCCCTCTGCCCTCTCTTGGGGTCTGAACATGATTGTGAGTGCTCAGGGGTGTTAACACCCAAGGAATGAAACTTTGTCCTGGGCTGTTCGAAAGTTTCCTGGTGCAAGTGGAGTAATTCCTGTTGTTGGACTAAAGAGAGAAACCACATTTGGATATTTTTAAACGGCCAGTGAAATTGGGAGAGAGTCTAAACCTAAAGTACAAATTTTCAGTTTAATTTTAACTTTGCACTTAGCTCACACCCAGGATTTGGCAGGGGGAATGGGCCTTCATTTTTTTTATTTCCTTTTTTAAGCAGAACACACCCTGGATGCAAACCCTTCTTCCTCATGGAAGGCCTTAGAGCAGTGGCTACCAGGGCCAGTGGTGAGCTCAGAGTTGAGACAGGTCTGTCGGAGGTCTTGAAACATGTGTATCTGCCCTGGAGCTCTGAGAAAGTGTGACTTTTCTTGGAGTCAGGTAGAGGCAAGGGGGTGGTGGCCTGACTTCCACAGACTCATTGTTAGGCTGGCAGTTTTGTTTTTTCCTGTTTGGTTGCTTCAGACACCCCGGGGAGCTCACCTGCCATCCTTGATATGGCACCCCACAAAGGAACTGTGGGTTTCCCCTGAGGTGGTTTGGGCTTTGGGGCAATATCAGCAGCTTCAGGGTGGAAGCCTTGACCTCTCCCTTTCCTTCTTGATCTCTAAACAGTGCTAAAACCCCAAAAAGCCCAGCCAGGAAGGAAATGCAGAAACCACAGGGATCCTAGAGGCCCTCCAGACCTGACCCGTAGCAGCCACAGGCTTGCCCAGCAATGGGAAGTGGCCTCCTCTGCTCGGGCAAGAGTGGGGTCCCAGGCCCCCTGGCCCTCTCCAGTTCCTTGCTCCCAGACTACAGCCTCATCTGTGGACCGGGTTAGGTTTTGTGCTTTGGTTACTGAGGAAGTGTAACCAGGGTGGGGACTGCTGGGAGTGGCCCCCACCCTGGAACAGTTGGAAGAGGAGCTATCAGGAAACAGCGGCCGTGGAAGGAACTTGTAGGATTGAGGCGATGGGGGTCTCACAGAGGCTGGGGACACCAGCTTAGAGTTTGGGAATGCAGAGACACTGTCGGGAGCTCCTCATCTTTCAGCCAACACTGGCCACCTTGGCCCAGCAGACGCCTCCTCTCACCACGTCCTGGGCTTGGGTGGTTGGCTCTTTTGTGACTGCAGAATGGGAGACTCCAGAGGGGCTGGAAGGATGGAACGGGCGGTGCAGATGAAGCACTTGGAGTGCACCTGGTGACCTCATGGTTACTGTTAATAGCAGCGTTAGGAGTGGTGGCCTGCTCAGCGGCCCTGAGGGCGGTGGCCACCCACTTGGATATGGTGCCAGAGCTGGGACTGGAACATGTGTGTAGAATTCCTAGGTAGCATTGTGACTCCCGGAAAGAGACCACTTCTGGAAGGATTAATTCCTTGGACCCCCAGCACTGCCTCTCCTCCTCCCTGCCCTCCCCCTCCCCATCCTGTCTGTCTTTGAGGCCAAATGAGGATGAGACGTAGACCGGTCTAGCACAACCACATCTGAAGTCTTTGAGGGTGGACTGGAATCCCTTCTTATATTTGTCTTTTTTCTGGGGGGTCTTGAAGACTTCTCCAGGCCTTCCAGGGAAGTCAGTCCCTGAAGAATACTGCGTCTTCTGCCTTGGGGGTAATTGCTAATGAAGGTGCTTCTCCCTCCAAGGATCACCATCAATGTGCCTGCCAGCTGCAGGAGGCTGGGCATAACCAGACTGTGCAGGGCAGGCGTGGATAACCGGGCATCCACCTGGAGGGCAAGTGCCATGGCCCCCTTAGCTGACACCCTGGGTCATTTCAGGCCCGAGATGTGATTGCTCTTCCTCTGCCTGCCAACTATAGTGGAGCCTGGAACTGCACTTCAGACTGTCCACCTTTTAACAGCCCGTGAGAGGGTAGCTTTTGATCAGTTCTTTCGACTGCCTTAGAAATAAAGGATTTAGGATCCAGGTGTGGGGAAAAAGAAAATAGAGGAGAATCTAAGAATTCTAACAGTGCAAAAGTGCCTCCAAGGGCTTGTAGGTAGGGACAGTTAGGGCCACAATGGTGCCTCCCAAAATAGACTTTTGGACTTTGCCCAGTTCATCATTTCACTGTGGACCCATCCTAAGTTGGATTTCTGCTCTTTCCACATCTACTTTCAGCACCCTGAAGAACAGTCTAGAGCCATGCTATCCAATGTGGTAACTACATGCGTCTCTTTACCCTCAAATTAAGTAAAACTTTAAAAAAATAATAAAACTCACTCCTTATTCTTGTCAGCCACATTGCAAGTGCTCCATGGCCATATGTGGCTAGTGGCTTCTCTTGAATGGTACAGAACATTTTTATTGCTGCAGAAAGTTCTAGTGGACTGTGAGTGAATAGAAAGAGCACTCCCTGGTCTGGGGGCCCAACAGTGGGGCAGGCCAAGTGAGTTGCCATGGTGATGATGCCGGCCCAGTGGGCAGGAGTGGAGAGTGGGGTTGTGTGTGCATCTCAGGGCCTGTTGGCACACAGAGGGTCACGGTCACATGGGGCTGAAAGGTATTGCTGAGGATGGTAAATGAGTAGTGGCCACTGGAGGGTGGTCAGGCTGGGGCCGTCATGGGCAGTGGGATGAGGGGATCCGATGTATGGCAAGCCCAGAGCTCCCCTTAAAGTTATAGCTGGGGAGGTGGCATTTTATTTTATAGTGAAACTTTGAAGAATGTGACAGTGCAGCTGAAATGAGACCACCAACCTTGCCAATAGCAGCAGGGCTTATTGAGTTAGTCTTCTCCAAGAGGGCTAATAAGGCTCCTGTTGGGAATTGCAACAGGCAGAGACCAGGGTGGGTGCTGGCAGTGCAGTGGTCTAGAAGAGCCAGCAGAGGTGATGGTAGTAATGTATGATGGACTCTTCCTGGATCTGCCTCCATTCCTTGCTTCCATTCACATGCTCCTTCCTTTTGCAGGTGAAAGAGCTTGTCCTGGACAACTGTCGGTCGAATGAAGGCAAAATTGAAGGCCTCACAGATGAATTTGAAGAACTGGAGTTCTTAAGTACAATCAATGTAGGCCTCATCTCAGTCGCAAACTTACCAAAGTTAAACAAACTTAAAAAGGTAAATAGAGAGTAGGAGCAGGTGTGCTGGGGGGAAGAGGAAGGGAGTTCATTACGTTGTGTTTGGGAAGCCTGATTGGAGGAAGTGAAGCCAGGCACCCACGCCAAGACTCCTGCCGTTCCCTGAGCTGACATGCTCCTCCTGCCTGTCTCAAGAGGGCCCGGAGCCTTCATTTTAAGAGCTGTTTCTGCTTCTTCTCTCCCTGCCCTGTTTAGCTTGAACTAAGCGATAACAGAATCTCAGGGGGCCTGGAAGTATTGGCAGAAAAGTGTCCGAATCTCACGCATCTAAATTTAAGTGGCAACAAAATTAAAGACCTCAGCACAATAGAGCCACTGGTGAGTCATTTGGGCCCTCCCCTCTCCGCGGGGCGGGGGCGGGAGGGGTTGGTATCAGGGAATACTACTTTTGCGTTTTTTCACTTATCTTACTTTATTTGACTCTCATTATGTGCTATGAGGTAGAATTGGAGCCGCTATTTCTGCTTCGTCCATCGAGAAACTGAGGCCTAGAGAAGTTCAATAGCTTGACCAAGGCCACACAGCCAGAATGGGCAGTCGGGGTAGGTGAGGTAGGACCCTGGTCTCAATTTCTAGTCTAGTGCTTTTCCTCTTTGGGTTTCTGCTCAGCTTTGGAAACCTGAGCTGTCCTTTCTCCAGGCTTAGAGCATGGCTTGGTGCCCCTCTTTGGGGAGGGAGGAGCCATCCAAAATGAAGTCGACCCTGGAAGTCTATACTTCTTTTCTCCTTGGTCGCTGGCCTGAGGCTGGGGCCTGGGATGGCAGAGAGCTGTGTGGTCCGGGACCCTCACGCCGGCCTTTCTCTCTGGGACATGGATGGTAGCCTTGGTCATCTCTAGTCCTGGTGAGATAGTGACCAGAACTCAGAGGCCTGGGCAATGTTGGGGCTCCTCTGCTGGTCCTCACAGAGCGGTAGACACCCCGGACGTCACAGATACACTAGCCAGAAAGGGGCACGTCACAGTCAGAATAGCAATTCCTACCTTGTCAGGATGAATGCTGCCACATTTAAATAAACACGTGTGCTATAAAAGCAAGTAAGCATCACTGCACCCACAATTGGGGAAAGATTACAAGGATACTTTGCCAAGTTTGCTGCATTTCCCTTTTCTGGGTATATAGAGTGCAGGTGGCACATCCCTCAGTTTGAGTTTGGAGGGTTCTTGTCCAAAAAGCACTCTTGCCCTCCATGGATGCTTTGGGGGGATGTGAGGTGGGGACAGGGCAACTGGGGGATGGGGCCAGCGTGGCAGACTAGGAAGCTGGCATTTCTTTTCCAAGCCTAATCCATACCTATCCTTCTGTGGTGTGGGGTCAGCTACTAGAATATGCTTCCCGTGCACCTTCTCTCCCAAGTTCTCGCCCTGCCACAGCCCATCGAAATCCCAGGGGAAAGCAAAACTCTTTTGATCAACCTGGAAGTCTTGATTTCATTACAAAAAGAAAAAAATCTTTTTGAGATTTTGTATATGTTTGGGAGGCAGGATGTGAGGGCCAAGTATATAAAATACTGTAATTTGGTCACCACTAGAGATTGGACCCCTCCCCCCACACACTCACTTACTCACACCCTGCTCCCCCTGCCCAGACCACACATGTTTTTATACTTCCCTTACCTCAGGCGTGTGACCCTTCACTTCCTGGGCCTCAGTTTCCTCAGCCACCAATCAGGCATAACATGGGCTAGAACAATCTGGTGTAAGGATTTTACCAAAGCATGTTGTATTGAGGACCATGGACAAGGCCTGGATCCCCTGTGGGTCTTCTGCTTGCCCTTTTTGACAGGCAGTATTACAGAGCGTAAGAGCACAGGTCTGAGGTTGGGTTGCCAGTTCTCTGCCCTTCATTTCCTCATCTGTAAAATGAAAATTGTTTCTACCTTACTGAGGTTGTGGGGATAAATTGCAAGTTAACATGAAAAAGTGCTGCGTGAATTGCCATCATGATCATTTTTATTTTTATCATTATTATTATTAGATGCAGAGGGAGCTAGTTCCTGCTGCCTTTTTAGTTCCCCTCTAGCTCCTTATTCACGGGACAGCCTTGAATACCAAGAGAGCCTGGGTTCATTTCAAGCCAGGCACTATTAAGGCAAACAAAAAGCTGTTATAGTAGAGTAACTGTTAGCACTAGATGAGGCTTAAAAGATCCTCAGGTCCAACACCCCACCCTTTCCAGGTGAAGAAACTGAGGCCCACCAGCTGGGGCTGACCTGTCGCAGGCTCACTTGGGCTGAGCAGAGCCAAATCCAAGCTCCCTTGAGCTCTCCAGGCTGTCTGCAGACTGTCTCACTTGCCCCTCCTATTTCCCAGGTTGTCTCCTTATACCACCCTCTCCCCCCACCACCCCTAGATCACTCACTGTTGACTTCGTTTTCTGCTTGCAGAAGAAGTTAGAAAACCTCAAGAGCTTAGACCTTTTCAATTGCGAGGTGACCAACCTGAATGACTACCGAGAAAACGTGTTCGAGCTCCTCCCACAACTCACATATCTCGATGGCTTCGACCAGGACGACAAGGAAGCCCCCGACTCGGATGCCGATGTCTACTTGGAGGGCCTGGATGATGACGAGGAGGAGGAGGACGAAGATGGTGGGTGGCAGAGGGGGCGGGCCAGGGCTTGGGACCCACCCGAGACACCCCCACCCTGGGGTCCTCCTTGCTTTACAGAGCGGGCAGACTGGGTGGTGGAGGCCCCTTCTAGCTGCAGACTCTTTCCAAAACTACAGAGGAAAGCAGCGGCTGTCTGCTTTGGTGGCTGTTGTCCCTGTCCCTAGTCTGTCTTGTTGGTTGATTTCCCCTAACAAAACCGTGCACGAGCTCCAAAGAAACATGCTGAGTTTCTCCAGCAGCGTAGTAACCCCCTGAAAACCATCAACCAGCTCAATTCCCTCTTCAATTTTTTTTTCTCTTTCCAAAGTCCCTTAGGGAATGGGAACCTTGTATATCTCTGGACTCAGACACTCTCCCAGGGAGGAAGGGAGCAGATAGAGGAAAGTGGGGTGTGGCCTGAGGACCCGCTTTCCCCATCTAGGTGTCCAGTAGTGGAGACCAGGTCATGAGCTGGAGAGGTTGTGAGGCCCCCTGGTGGCTGCAGCGCACAGGACCACAGGCCAGGACTTGCGGGTGTGGACTCTGGAGCCCCAGAAGCCTGGGAAGTGGAGGAGGCTCAGGCAGCACCTTGGGCTCCCGGCAGTTTGGAAAGCAGTCAGGGCCCACCAGAAGGAAAGAAGAAGAAAGGAGTGCTTCCTCCAGCCCCCTGCCAACCTATCTGGCTGCCAGTGCAGGCACTCCTGTAGGTCCTCCTGGCCAGAATAAAGTGAAAATTGAAATGGCCTAATTAATTCGGACACCGTTGTTTTTCCTTCTTAGGTTGGGAGTGTTTTACAGAGTCTTGAGTTACCTTACCCTGTTGTCTTAGTTTGTTGCATCTCATGATACAGCAGCAAGGGCCCATATTGGAGTCCTGTGACCATGTTTCCAGGCTCAGCTGTGCCTCTAGTTCAACATGTGGCCTGGAACGCGCCACTTCTCTCCCCTCTGCCTCAGATTTCTCACCTTCCTAAGTGAATTGACGTTTTGTTTTCCCCGGGCCCCCCGTTATTTCTTTCTCTGCGGTCTCCGCCTCCACCAGGGATCGTCTGCACCTTTGTAGACCTTGTGGACTTGGCTTTCAGGTCACTTTAGGATGTGCTCGGTCACACTGGCGCGTTGGGGCTTTGGCCCTGGGTGGGTGTGGGAGGCTGGTGGTCCCCACCCTGAAGACGACCGCCCCTGCCCGCCGCTGGCCTGGGACCTGGCGCTGTGAGGGAGAGCCAGCTCACCACCAGTTCCGTTCTTGTCCCACTCTCACTGCACAGAGGAAGAGTACTATGAAGACGCTCAGTTAGTGGAAGACGAGGAGGACGAGGAGGAGGAGGAGGAGGAGGAGGAGGAGGAAGGTGAAGAGGAGGATGTGAGTGGAGAGGAGGAGGTGAGAGGCTGCACCGGGCAGGGGACCCATCTCCCCGCGCCCCCGTACTTGCTACCTCTGAGTCAGTCCCACCAAACACCTCGGGTCGCCGGGAAAACCCTGGTTGGGGGAATGAGTCCGTTTCAAGGTCTTTTACTGGGTTGCTTTAAGGAAGGCAAGACTTGCAGCCCACCCTGGGTAGGGAGGAGGAGGATTCTGGAAGCACCTGCTGAGGTGATAAGCCTGGCCCTGACTTTCATGTGAAAATAAGTTGTTTCAGTATCCACCCCTCATTTTGTTGGGTTTTTTTTTTTTTTGTCTTTGTATTCATACTAAGATATATACTGAACCCATGCTGTGTGCCAGGGAGATTTACGACTGCCTTGAAGTGATGGGTAGTCGGATCAAAAACTGCTGGACCCCAAATCAGAGCATGACATGAGTTCCCTGGAAACAGTGCCATCGTTCCGATACTTTGCCTGGTTCCCAGCTTCCAACAAGGACTGTGCCTTGTCAGTGAGGGTAATAGATCAGAGATTAGGAATACTGTCTGTGAGGGGTTGGATCCCAGCTCTGCCACTTGTTGTGTGTCCCTGGATAAGTTCCTTGACCTTTCTGAACCTCTTTCTTCATCAATGAAGTAGAAATCATTTTACAGCTGGGCTGTAAATAGGGATCAATTCACTGGATTGTTAAGAAGACAAACTAATTTGTAAGTAAAATGCTTAAAGGCAGTGTGTAGCAAAGAGTGACCACTTATTTTAGGCTTTCATCCTCTTCTCCAGGGTGCTGGCACTGTGTGCTACTGGATTTCATGTTTGGATGTTTGGAGACATTGTAGGAGAGTCACTTTCTGTTATCTATTTAGAATTCTCTATCAAATCTTACTAATGCAAAAAAGATAGACCTGGAGAGGCTTAGACATGGTTAGCAGGTTAGCATGAACAGGGTACCTGCCTTCTCCCCCACTTTGCTGCCCCCCTCAACGAAGGGCACAGATACCCGCCTGCCTTGGGGCCTGCTTGGGCAGGATCTCCCACCCAACCCACTCCAGGCTTGGGAGAGGCAGGTCAAGGCAAAGAGAGAAGTCGGTGGCATAGGCTTGGTACTCTGTGGGTGTCTTTTCCTTGGGTAGGGGCCGCATGACTCACCCCTGAGGAACATTGGGAGTATTTTAAACAGGTCCCCCTTGGACACGGCAGTAAGTCTTGTTCGCTAATGGGTTTTTCATCTTGCTCTTCCTGTCACATGAGCTGCAATGTGCAGGGACTTTTTGATTTGTTTCCTGGTTTGGTTTGTTTTTGTTGTGGGTTTTTTTTTTTTTCTTTTCTTTTTTTTGGGGGGGGGGGTTTGTTTATTTTTTTTTTTTTTGTATCATTGACCATCTGCCGATTTCCAGCTTCCAGTAAAGGAGAGGTTAGACACACACACAAAACAGTCTTAGCAAACAGACTGACTAAGGGACTATTTGGTGACATTATAAAAGGCTATTTCCCTAGACAAAAAGAAGTGAGTTCATCATCAAGTTCTTTTTCAACACTGGGCTGCCTGATGCTTCAGGAACAGTATTTAGCACACAGGTTTTGCTGCGTGGGGCTTCAGAGGCAGCATGGAGTGAGGGTCCTGAGTTGAGAAGTCACATGTCTTGCTAAATCACAAGTCTCTGGGAATGAAGTTCTCAGGGGGACCTTGAATTTACCCTCCTCTTTTCCCCTTCCAAGTGGTACAAGTTTTGCAGGATGGCGGAGAAACTGGGTTGGGTAAAACTGAACTTGCCCAGTCTCTGGATTTACAGAAACAAGACTTTCCTTGAAGCCAAAACTAGATTGAGGACAGATGAAAGAGCACCTTACTTATGTAGCAGGGAGTTAGTTGGGGAAACTTGTTCTCTTATGAGAGTGCATAGACTGGAAAGCTGCCTAAATTTTGGGGACTCGAGGTCAGGATTTCTTAATAGAGGGTAGAACTCACACACACACACACACACACACACCCTCCCCCCCACATCATTTGAGAATATTGTGTGTGATATGGGTATTTTGGGGGGTGGGGGGCGGGTTCTGCAGATTTTTTTAAAGGACACTGTATCCAGAAGAACCTCTGCTTTAGATTCATCCCAAATGTCAGGGCTGGGGCAAGCCCCTCTTCTTTGAAATGTGTCTGGGAAAGTAGATTCCTTAGCATGTGCCTAGGCTGGGGCCATTTCTGATGCCGGGCGTCCATCTTCTCTCCTAGGAGGACGACGAAGACTATAACTTCGAGGAAATAGAAGACGAGGACTATGAATTAGAAGCTGGTGGTATGGCAACTTTTTGCTCTCAGCACCTGTGGGCCCTGCGCCCCTGGCAGTGGGCGGAGGCATGCCCGTTGGAGGCATGTGGGTCCCCCCTTGCTTTGTTGGTCCCTGGCCTCAATTTGCCTCGAATGACAAAGCTTCTGAGATGTATGATCCCCCGGTTTTCCAGCAGGCGGGCTGAGTTAAAGGCAGGATCACTGTTTAATTTGAATGTCTTTTCTTTCTTCTTCCAGAAGAAGAAAGGGGTCAAAAGCGAAAACGAGAACCTGAAGATGAGGGTGAAGAAGATGACTAAATGGAATAACCTATTTTGAAAAATTCCTATTGTGATTTGACTGTTTTTACCCGTAACCCCTCCCCCCAAGTCCTGCCCCCCGAAACTTATTTTTTTCTGATTGTAACGTTGCTGTGGGAACGAGAGGGGAAAAGTGTACTGGGGGTTTTGGGGGGAGGGATGGCTGGAGGGGGTGGAATAAAGTACTATTTTTACTGCCACTCTTTATTTTTTTTCCCCTACTTTTCCTTTGTATTGGTTTTGTCCCTGTAAATGCAATAGCTGAGGACAACACCTCAAGTGAGCATTTGTTCCTTACTCACAAAGAGGACGGTTTGAGGTCCCTCACCTTTCCTGCTATTTCCCAAGTCTCTTGAGTCAGTTGGAAGGCCATGGCTGGCCCGGGCTGAGTACCAGCCACGTCCTACCTCTTGTTCTGGGTCATGTGATGTCTGCATTTCTTGGGTCTGCTAGAGGCATCCAAAACCCTGGTTTGTAAATAGCAACCTAAAGGCGTATTTTGGCACTGTTTGGGGCCATCCCCGTCTCTCATTCCCTCTCCCTCTCCCAGCGGTGGTGGGCTTTGCTCTGTGAAGACAACTTTGATGTCACTCTTATGAGCTATGAGCCAGAAAGCTGAAAACAGCAGCCTCATGACTTACAAGTAAAGTGTATTTGGCGATTACAATTAAAAGAAGCAAACCCTCAGACTTCGACCTCTTTAAAAGATTTTAAAACAAAACTGTCATATCTTGTTCTGTGATCTATTAGAACGCTTTGTTTCCCGAAATGACAAGAGAATTCTTCCACCTGTACTTCTGTGCTTAGACCATTTTTACGAACCTAAGCGCGGGAGACTTGCTGCATGTCGGCTGGGTTTTTTTTTTTCATATACCCGAGCACGGAAAAACTTAATGCAAAATTGTATTTTCTTACCTAGTGGAAATCTGAAATGACTGCAAATTCCTAGTGAATGTACAGGTTTGCTTTCATGTCCCTCTTCTGGATTGCTTTAGAAGTGACGTGTTATTTCCTAGCCCGTGTTTCATCTGTATAAAAAAACATCTGCACCGGTTTTTCTCCCCCTCAGAAGAGCCAAACTTTGAGTTTTATGTCTGTTTGTCATTGATAAATTTCAATAAATCTTTTTATACAATTTTTTGAGGAATGGCTTCTTTGAGTCCAGGCTGTTGATCTTTCTAGATACATTCCAGATAACCTGCTAGTTGATGGGGAAGCTTGACTTTTGTGACCTGATAAAATAGATTTTCTTATTGGATACACAAGCTGACACTAAGTTTGCATAGTTTAGGTCTCAAAGCAAGGCTCTGGTGTGCTAGTTTCATTAAAAACTTCATGTGGGGGAGGGAAAACTAAGGAGATAAAGATAATAGTTATTTTAGCAAGTCAAAATCAAAAAAGACCAACTTTGGAAACTTATTTTGAAATGTTTCATTGCTGTTGAGATTAGCTTGAAAATCTCAGGAATGTGTAAAACATTTCACACACTAAGAAGCTTACATGGTGTTTGTTTTGTTCCTTTTTTAATGTCTCTGTCTTAAAATATATGTCATAAATAATATTGCCCATTAACATCTGATTTGATTAATTCTAACCAAATGGTTAGATATTTGGGTTATCTCTCACTTAGCACCACAGTGGACATCCTGTTAGACTTTTGTGTATGTGTGAATTTTTTTTTTTTTAAGATTTATTTATACAAGAGCTGGGGTACAGGCCAGAGGCACGGGATGGTGAGAGGATTCACCAGAGACAGAGTGGGGAGCAGAACAGGCAGATGGACCGAAAGCACTGCTGAGGGGAGCAGCAGGCAAGACAGGAGAGGTCTGCTGCGCCATGTGGATAGCTCCCTGGTCGACCGGGAATTGACCTCGCACTGCAGAGGCTGCAGACAGCTTCACAGTGCTGCTCTCAACCTGCTGTGCCACCAGGGAGGTCCTTGTATGTGAATTTCTTAAACACTTTTCTTAGAGTATAGTAACTACACCAAAAATCAGCATTTATAAGTCTCATGTGCAAGGTCCCATGCCTTCCAGAAGTTACACTAACATACTGTGCTGCTTCATACGCGCACACATATATTCATCCTCAGCCATATGCCCTGGAACCCACAGGGTGTCCTAGTTCAGGTAGGGTCCCTTCCAGGAGACCCACCCACCCTCTAGGCAGGGCCCTGTGCCTACTGTCCTTTTCTCTGGAGCAGACAGACGTGGTAATTCCAGGTGTGAGATGGGGCGGTAGCAGCCCAAAGGCCAGAGCTGTATTAGGCACAGGGCTGAGAAGGAGCTAGGCAGGTGTGCTCTGTTCCTCCCAGAGCTGATGAAAAGGGAAGTGGGTAAAATCAGGGCCTGGCCTAAAGGTTGTTGACCCTGCCTGAATTCTAGCAGGGCTTTAAAGATCAAGTGGCTCACATGGGCATAGAAAGAAACACTGTAAGATACAAGGCAAAACAGATGATGATGAATGGGTTAATGCTGATGGATCTAAGGGGAGAAAACCTTACCTGCTAATCATTGCAAGCATTCACATCACCTCTTGAAAGGTCTTGTGCCCATTTTATAGACAAGGAAAAAAGCTTGAGTGAGTTGGAGATTAGTGGAGCCAAGGTAAAATCAGGTCTGTCTGGGCTACTTCTATTGAACTTAGTCATAAATGGCCAAGAGCGGAAGCTCATCCAGAAAGAAGTAAGAGCTGAGCTTCATTGAGCCCTTCCTACAGGCCACGTACCATGCTTAATTAACCACAGCATCTCCTTCATTTTAAGGAATCTTCACAGCCACTTCCTGTAGGTGCCACAGGTGAGGTTGTACAGGTGGCGCAGAGAGTGATTTGCCCAAGGTCATGGCAGCCAGAAAAGACCAGCATCAGAAGTAGAGCAGTTGCATGTGGCCCCAAAGCCAGGCTGCATCTCTGCGCCCCCTGCTTCCCATGCTGCCTGGACTTGTGTCAGCCAGTTGCGTTGAGGCAGTTCCTTACCTCTGCCTACCACGGCTCCAGCGGTTTCACCACTGCGTGCTAGCAAGCGCCATGGGACTGAGCCTGGAGAGGGAAGGGCCCTTAGAAATCACCTAGTCCAACCATCTCCTTGGACAAGGGGGAACCCTAGCTCAGGGAGGTAAGAGGTGAGCCCAAGGTCGCAGCAAGGCGGAGTCAGCCCAGCCTGAAGTCAGCACTCCCTTTTCTGGGCTGCCCTGGAGCTCATGCTGCTGTGCTGTGTGGTTTCAGGCAGAAGCAGAAGATACAGAGTATAGTGTCTTCCTGGACAGAATAGCCAAACCCAAGAGGGAGACCATGGTGAGGCTGTTTTATGTGGCTTTGGAGAGCATCCTACATCTTTAAATATTCACAGTGAACTTGGTTTACTGACTGAGGTTAAGCGTCCCTGAAGAGGCTCTGCATTTCTTGATAAAACCAGTGCCTGTAGAGAGAGTAGTGACAGTGATTCTGGAATTTGAGTTTCTGCTCTGCATCATACATACATACAGACAGACATCCATCCCACAGCTTCCACATCATACATACATACATACATACATACATACATACATACTTCCTACAGCTTCCACATCATATATACATACATACATCATACAGCTTCCACAGACAAGAAAACTAAGGCTCCCTCCAAATGGTGAGAACTAGCAACTAGTAAGTCACCTGTGTCTTTCTGAAGCTTGATACCTTGCTCTTATTCACATGTTAACAGTGCCAGGCGAATGAGGGAAGGGGGATAAACAATCAGTTTGTCTCAATTACTGGCCTGCAGAGGCTATTTTTATTCTGGTTCAGAAACTCATTGTTCATGGTGGCAGGATTCCCATGGTGGGTCCCGTAAACAACTCTGGACAGTGGCAGCTGCAAGTCCCTGGATGAGCCCTTGGCCAGGCCCCTGTGGCAGTCAGGAAAGGCCTGGAGATGGTTGGACAAAGGAAGGCAGAATCAACCTGATCGAGACCTTCAAGCAGGAAAGTGGAAGAAGAGTCCAACCTGATAGGGAACTAGATTTCTACCTGACTCTCGAAAGTAGGAAACGGATGCAGAGACATCTGAAATTGCCTGTCCAGCATCGGTTCCTCTTGGTAACTCCCAGGGACACTGGGAAGACTCACATGGACATGGACCATTCCCACGCCAGAAGTTCGGAGGGGGCGAGCCCGTACGTCTCTGGTCCCTGGGTGAGCAAGTGACCCAGTGCTGGTCATTCAGTAAGTTCCAAATCACAACAGTGACCGGCACAAGGAGGGCCTGGAACCCAAATTGGCCAGATGAGGCTCGGTTCCTGGAACTTGGAAAATGAGAAACTTCCTGTTGGGAGAACTGGGCCTGGAAGATGGAGGGAGGCCTGGAGTGGGAAACATAGACTTCAGAGAGGGTGTCTGCATGATTGCCTCTCAGTCCTGGCTAGCCTGATGAAGTAAAGACAGTAACATATTTAGAACATATAGTCTGCTAGGCATTGCACATTATTCTGCTATTTCTCCTAATAACCCTTCTGGTAGTCATTGTTATCCCCATTTCAAAGATTGAACACATATACATGCTCAATAAACATTAGCTGCTTAGCGCCAGACACGACAGCAAATGCTCTATACAAATCAACCTAGTGTTTCCCAAATTTCCCTGATAAGAATCCCTAGGGCTTGTCAGGCTGCCAGACCTCACCCCTGGGAATTCAGTTCAGTAGCTCTGCGTTGGGGCCCAGGAATCTGTGTCTCAACAAGCACCCAGAGGATTCTCATCATCAGGGACATCAGGGAAATGCTACAGTAAACTCAATACCTACAGCAGCTGGTGAGGAAGATATGGCCACATTCATTTAAAGTTGAGGAAAGTGAGACTCAGAGAGGTGAAGTTACCTGCCCAAGCTAACACAGGCAGCAGATGACAAAGATTTCAACCTGGGTCTACGCAACTCTCACACTCTTGTAGAAAGGGGATGATAATAGCTTTCTGTGTGTCTCACAAGTTATGAGATGTTAGAAAAAATGGAAAAGAGCATTGCAAAGTAAAAAGCAAAAATATTAAAAGAGAAAGACACCAATTCAATGAAAAAGAACCCCAAGTAACCCAGTATTTTCTGTACCAGGAGAAAACAAAGTCTTAAAAAGCCACTTGGTAATTAAGACCCTCTACTTGGAAGTTTATCCCCTCTTCCTTTTAACCTTCACATTCTATAAAATCCACTCTTTGTATTAACCACTGTAGTCATGATAGTTCACAAAAGATCTCAGCTATAAAAAATGGATTTACCTTTTGTGAGTCCCTGCATCTTGCCAATGGCCTTTGGAAGGTCTGATGAGTCCTGGTCAGCCATCAGGAACCAGGAGAGCTGGATTCTTGAGACTAACTGGCTGGGTGAATGCGGACAAGTCAGCTTTATGTCCTATAAAAAAGAGGGGGGCAGACTAAATGCTGTAGGAGATGGTTCCTTATGATTTTCTTTCCCTGGCTGCCCTGAGAGCTCTATGTAGCTCTATTTTTTTTTTTTTTTTTTTTTTTTTGATAGAGGCATGCTTTATTTATTTGTTTGCTGGTTTGTTTGTTTGTTTTGTTTATACATGCACTGGGTACAGTCAGAAGCGCGGGAGGGTGAGAGAATTCACCAGAGCCAGAGCGGGGAGCAGAGCAGACAGAAGGACCGAAGTACACTGCTGAGGGGAGCAGCGGGCGGCAGGAGAGGTCTGCGCGCCATGTGGGACCCTCCTCCAGTGGCCGGGGAGCAGCCGGGGATCGAACCGGCGCCGCAGAGGCCGCGGGCAGCTTCGCAACCCAGCGCTCAACCGCTGCGCCACCGGGGAGGCCCTGTAGCTCTATTTTGAACATGAAGTTTCATAAAGGGAGGCCTGCTGAACCTCCATGATGGCTGCCAGGAGGGTCCATGTGGGAGAAACAAACTCTGTCCTGAGGCAGATGAGAAACTAGCCAAATGACTTCCTGAGGTCTCAGTGTGGAGATAAATAACCCAGTCCACACACACCCATGATGGCCTGCGTAGTGCAGCTGGGCAATAAGGAAGCAGAGATAATCTGAGCTCACTGCATCCCCAGCATTCTACACATGCCATCTCATTTCATTCTCTCAGCAGAACTCTCTTTGACATAGTTCTTATTCTCCCCACTTTCCCGATGAAGAAACTGAGGTTCAGAGAT